AGGGCACCCGCCTCCCCGCCCCACCCCCCCCCCCCCTCAAGTTTCCTCTAAATGTTGAAAAATATCTCCCTGCAACCAGGTAGAATTAAGCATTTAAGTTGGAACTGCAGCCTCTTGCTATGACTATGTACATTTTATACAGTTGGAGCTGGGTACCTCCTGACCTGTATATTCACAGGTTTGAGAACATGTAGGCCCATGTTTGAGAACATGTTGCAGGGTGTGCAGGCAGCTATACAAGATGAATGCCTAGCAATTTTTCTTTTCTTACTGGAGTATATCTTTCATTCTATTAGTGGCTTTTTATCATTTTTTTAAGAACAGTGTTAAATATCCATAACATATCCATATTTCAATTTAATAAACATGTTGGAACTGGGTATACAATGATTTGTGGCCTTCTAAGATATTAGGGCTCTTCCAGAGGGCTGATACAGCTTGTTTCCTGATGTCTGGGAGGCTCCATCCATCACAATGATGAATTGAGCTGTCTTGGACATATAGCACACCTGCTGGACTCACCTTACGAATCAAACACATGCTTGTAATAACCCATGTATTATTTAATTTTATTATGACAAATCATATGCTTTTTTTCTAGGTAGGGATGCTCTATAAAAATAACAGGACATGATCGTGGACCCTTTGTGCTGATATAGCAGTGTTGCTTCATTTGAAAACTTTCCTCTTTGGAGATCAGCCCATGTCATTTCCACTTTACAAATAACAAGGCAACTTTGAACTTCAAATACATCTCTAAAAAGAAGGCATCAGGATGATTGCAACAACTCCATCCTTTGATTAATAATCGCTTATTTTTCTGCACAGACCTCGGGTCCAGTTTTCCGTAGTAGAGAGATCATACATGTATACATACATTTCTCTGAGCTGCATCCTTGCACATAAATGTGAGAGACAGCGACTTCACAAGCATGAAACAGGATGTTCCACTGCATCAATGTCAACACAGAACATTGACAAATGCAGCATTCAAAGCCATGGCCCCATTTTGTCAAAAAGTCACAAAGGTCTATTGGACAGCAATGCTGAATCATATGGTTATAACACTGTCCTTTCATTTGTTGTGCAAGGTACCTTTTACTGTGGCCTATATTGCAATGATGCGAAGAAAACATGCATATCATAAAGTTGTGGAGAATAAAGTGTTATTGTGTAAATCACTGAGCATGCATTACATTATTTCCGTCAATCTTTGTACTTAAGAGGCTTGCTTATGCCTGTTATGACTGCAAGAAAATGATGTACTGTAGGGCTGCAACAACTAATCGACATAATCGATTATAATCGATTGAAAAAGTTGTCAACTTTTTCAATAATCGATTAATCGAATTCCGATCAGTTGGCCCTGTTCACAGCTCCACACGCTGTCCCCACCTCACGCCCGCCACTGCCAGACCCGCTCGCATCCACGCGCCGCACCTCCTCCCCGCCTCACATTTCCTGCCCATCCACGATCGGCAAGGCACGCGGGGAGATGTAGTAAGGAGGAGCAGGGGTGGGGGGATGACAGCCGCTGATAGACCCGATCTCAGAAGCAAGTTGCTGGAAGACTGCTCAGGTAAGCCTGCACTTTCCCACACATGGTGCTCTATAATGTATTGCTGGGATTTGTTGTATTCCTCTATAGCTGGCGGTATTCTGCATTGCGCTGTATAGAGGACTACAAGTCCCAGCAATAATACATTATACAGCGCAATGCAGAATGCCGCCAGCTATTATGTACTATTGCTGGGATTTGTTGTATTCCTCTATAGCTGGCGGTATTCTGCATTGCGCTGTATAGAGGACTACAAGTCCCAGCAATAATACATTATACAGCGCAATGCAGAATACCGCCAGCTATAGAGGAATACAACAAATCCCAGCAATAGTACATTATACAGCGCAATGCAACTAACTAATCGATTTTGAAAATAATCGTTAGCTGCAGCTCTAATGTACTGTATATTTGTCCAACTATTGCCGCTTGTGTTGGCAGAAAGCATAACATGTGTTCAAGACACTTGAATGGAAGCTATCATGTAGCCATGTTACATACTCAGATAGTGTTATTAAGATAAGAATATATAAGAAAGGAGATAGCAAATATTGCAAGGTGATTTACAGGATTAAAAAGGCATAAGCTTACCATAGTCGTTTCCTGGATTGATCCAAAGCTGTTAATAAATATGTTGACTACAACATCAACTGGAATACCTAAAGAACAAATACAGGAAATGAGAAAAAATGAATTAGACTTAACACAGAACATATTGCAACGGGCTAGTTCATCAACGACTAAAAATTGTTATAATATGTGACACTTTATTTTACAGAGAGGGAGAGAAATAGAAAGGGTCACAGTGTGTATGTGTGACCAGCTACACTATAACAGTCCATTTTTCTGCTTTATTGCTGCTGTATATTTCCAATTTCTTATTTACTTGTTTTTCTCCCTTTGCAGTGTTCCATTCTGTATCACATTATAACAGAACGGTCATACACCAGTGGAGCCTGTATCAGTAAAACTGGCCATAAACTGTATAATACTACCCCAAACATACATCCAGATATGATGCTATGGCAAGATTGTGTCATTTAGGGGTACCACTAGGACGCAATAATGAGTCAATACAATGTTAAAGCTATTTTCGGACACAGAGATTTTCCAACCTAGGAAAAGCTTGTGCAACTTGGCTGGTCTTTCCTTTTATATAGTGAGGAGGCATTAACTGCTCATACACTGGTTTGAATCATCAGGAAAGTAGCACAGGATAAAAGCAACTATTCATATTACTATAGCAACCTATCTTCCTATTCTTTCTACAATCCATATTATCATGTATTGCAGCGTGCTGCATTACTGTGGCCCATTCATTTAGAAGGTTCCCACCGTAGGGGAAATCACTCCGGCTTTATTATTATTTTAATGCAATACACTACAACTCAACACAGTGTGCTCGATGGATTAGCTTGTGTTGTGGTAATGTGCATTTTTCAGTGCTACATGGTTGTGTGAAAGGGCCCTTAAGGACAAACCAGCTTGTCTATGGCTAGCCTAATTAAACAACCTGCCATATAGAACATTAATGGACACATTTAAAGGGGAAGTAAGGCTTTCAAAACGGAAATTACCAATCAGCAGACATTCTATGGCAGAAAAGACTAAGCCTCTTCTGCTAAGAAAGTTTCTTTCTACCTGTCAGCAATTTGTTTTTCTGTATGCTATGTTGCGCATGCCCAGTTCAGCGCACAGACCCGGCATGCCAAGATAAAGTAACTCCATGGGCATGCACAGGGATTACGACATTGGGGCCTGGCAAATCAAGCAGTCGAACACTGGAAACCCAGAAGACCGGGGAGAAGATGGAAGCAGCGTAGAGAGAGGAGCGCTGCGTTGGAGGGAGTTGCTTTGGAAGGTAAGTCTGCCATAATATGCTGTACATATTTTTTTTGCATATAGTTGAAGTAGAAACCTTTGTGCTGTGTATACTCTGTGAATCAGAAGTTGTATTAATATTGTTTATAGATAGACAGAAGAGGACTTAATTTTGTAGGCAAGCATCAAGGTACAGTGATAGAACAAAGCATACTGCGTTAACTGCCTATGCAATTTTTACAATTTAGCTATAAGCCTAGTGATTTGGCAACAACTTTTTGTTACTTATGATAAACATGCTGTTAGAAGACAAACTAGACTTTCATTTGGCCGCATTGTTTTCCCAAAAATATTTTATTTTCTATAATTTCTACAGAAAAATAAAAACATTAACAAATGTAAGGGAGGAGACTTGGGGCTGAGTGATCAGTGGTCCGTGATCGCTCAGCTCTTCGTATATAAAGTTGGTATGTGACAGTATGTGTACTATAAGTTATGAGAAGAGTATATTTTACTCTCCTAATACTTCTCCTTTAATGTTATGCTTTATAAACAGCACAGCCTCTCTAGGTTACATGTATGACCTGTACCATTTTTCAAAATACAGTGGAAAAATTTAAGAACAAATGTACCGACATAAATCGATAATCGATTATTGAAAAAGTTGTCAACTTTTTAATTCATCGATTAATCGGCTTCCAATTGGTTGGCCCTGTTCACGGGTCTATACACGCTGCACGCCACACCTCCTCCCCACCTCACGCTTGCCGCTGCCAGACTTGCTCGGCCGCATCCACGCTCCACACGCCGCACCTCCTCCCCGCCTCACGCTCAGCACCCGCCCACATCCACGATCGGCACAGGGAGAAGTAAGGAGGAGCAGGTGTGGGTGGATGACAGCCGCTGATAGACAGGACTGATCTCAGAAACAAGTTGCTGGAAGACTGCTCAGGTAAGCCTGCACTTTCCCACACATGGTGCTCTATAATGTATTGCTGGGATAGTGGGATTCGTATTCCTCTATAGCTGATGGTACATTCTTCTGTACTGTATATTATACAGAGCAATATACCATCAGCTATAGAGGAATACAAATCCCAGCAATACATTATACACTGTATGTATAATGTATTGCTGGGATTTGTTGTATTCCTATATAGCTTGTGGTATTCTGCATTGCGCTGTATAGAGGACTACAAATCAAGGAATAGTACATTATACAGCGCAATGCGGAATACCACCAGCTATAGAGTACAAATCCCAGCAATAGTACATTATACAGTGGTGCAATGCCGAATACCACTAGCTACAGAGGACTACAAAACCCAGCAATAGTACATTATACAGCGCAATGCAGAATACCGCCAGCTATAATGTACTATTGCTGGGATTTGTTGTATTCCTTTAAGCTGGTGGTATTCTGCATTGTGCTGCATAATGTACTATTGCTGGGTTTTGTAGTCTTCTATAGTCGATGCCATTCTTCATCATTGCTGTATAATTTTACACTTTTCATTTCACTATATTGCACACCACACTTTTTTTTTCTTTTTTACTTCCACCGCTCCAAGCTTGCTCCTGTGATGGAGTGAAATCTCAATACAAACTAGTAGCCCCATCACTGGAGCCATTTTTTAAAATGTTTTTTTATTTTTTATCCGATTTACCGATTAATCGAACTTAATAATATGCTAACTAATCGATTTTGAAAATCTCCTTATAATGTTTATATATTTTTTTTTTATAAATGGTTATAGGGTTATGCTAATGGTTATTGTAGCATGCATGCTTCTTTAGATGCAAATTCTTAATCTTCCCGTCCATTTTTCACAGGTTACATATGCTTTCCCCTAATCAGAGTGTGAGGTTTCTAAGAGAGAAAGAGGAATGTGGTAAATTATACAGAGCAAGAGTCTCTGCCAGCGTTCTTGATGTTTGCTGCGTGGGCTGCAATTCCACTGACAGTGTTCTAGTACAGAAGTGGTTGCCATGGCAACCGGCTTTAGCACTACAGTATAATAATTACATTTTCAAAATCATACACTTTTCGGTATTTGCGCTAGTCCTTTCTATAGCCCTGCAGTTCCTCCTGTTTTATACATCTCTGCGATTTGCTTTGAATGCTTGAAAACTGTCCAGAAAGATTTACTCAGTAATTTTGTAGGCAAGCAAAAATGCTTCAACAGACAAAACTTGAAGAAAAAAAATAATGTAAATAAGATTTATATACACTGCAGACCCTCAGCTGAAAATTCATACATTGCAGACATGTCAAGTCATTTGCGCTTTGTATCCCCTCAACCGGTTATCTTATTCAAATGGATGACCTCCAGGAATAACAGTGACCCCTTTTAAGGTGCCCATACACTGCTCGATTCTCGTACGAGAATCGCGGGAAATCCTGCGATCGTACGAGAATCGAGCAGTGTGAACGAAGACGTGTGACTGTTTCTACTGTACGGTCGCACATCTTTTGTCAAACCAGCATGCTCAAAAACCCGCCGAGAATCATACGATTGTCGGCGGATTTCTAGCCTGCTCGTTCGACAGCTGCGGAACGGGCCAGTGTGCGGACCACTACTAGTGGTGTTTTATTACTATCAACTGACAACGATAATGTCCTTAATGTGACTAGACATTTTACTGTGGATTAAAACAGAAGCTTCCGAACACTGACCAATTAGTGGGTATCGATAAGGATAGGATCAGTAGCATTTACCTGCGGTATTAGTTCAAGCAATAAGAATTTATGTATTAGTAACACATTTTTTTAAACTATTAAGAGAAAAAAGGAAGATTTTTTTGTTATTATAAAAAATATATATTCAAATATGATGTAGTATAAGGCTAATTATAATTAAACCAAAAAAAACTGAACTAGTGCTCTCTTCCCCCAGCCTAAATGTTCCTGGCCCACCCTTTACATTCATTGGATTTCAGTTATTTCAGTCATTGAGGCTCAGCATTACATGTGGGCAGTATGTATGGCACTCTACACGCATATACAGCCTGCTCAGGATCTCCCCCTCCTCATTGCCCAATTCAAAAAGAAGCACAGGGACCCAGTGATTACATCACTTGGTCTAAATAAAAGGTTTGTAATAAAAATGCAAAGGTTGTATTTAAAATTTTCATTAGCATGTTTATTGTGCGTGTTTGGGAAGGAGGGGGAAAGGGGAGTTGGGGGTCTGGGAAAGCAAAATATAACCAGAGTAAAAACGTATGCGTTGGAGCATTCTAATTTTGACCGTTGAGTTTAGTACAGACTTACCTTCTCATCCTAAAAAGTGCCCTTTCCGGTTTACCTCTGTGCCACTGCACTGAGAAATGTATGAGGGTTTATGACTCTCACCTACACTTTTAAAGACTAAAACAAAAGCACTAATATGCCTGCGTTCCGTGTGTGGGTGATCGCATTGCGGGCATGGCTGTGGTGCCATTGACTTCAATGCACCGCCACGCCCCTTCCGCCCCTGAACGCAGGGAGCCGGGTCAGCTTGCCTTCCAGTGCTTTACAGAGGCCGAACGCACTGGAACGGGGAGTTTGTGGTGTGAACCGGCCCTTAGGGTGGTTCCACAGTATGGAAGAGAAACAGAGCCATCCTTTGACAGCAGAATTGTCAGCCTACGAAGAGGGTGGTGTTAGATGGACTTGCACATTTAGATGGGCTTGGCTAACTTATTTAATCCAAACTTCAGCTATTACTTTTTAAGCAGTTACAGGTTTTTTTTTTTTCCTTTGGGTTAAAGGTTTTATAGAAATGAATAAGGGCTAACCATTGTAAGCACCACTGTAAAAAGGTGCCCATACACTGTACGATTATCGTACGAGAATCGCAAAGTGTATGGAAGGCGTGCGACCGCTTCTACTGTACGGTCGCACGTCTTCCGTCGAACAAGCAGGCTTGAAAACCCGCCGAGAATCATATGATTCTCGGCGCATGGGTGGCCGGCTAGTTCGACAACTGCCAAACGGGCCGGTGTGCGCACGCGCACACTGCCCGTTTGCAGAAACCGCAAGCCCGCCCCTCATTGCAGTCATGGCAAGCCCGCCCCTCAGGCGGATCACAAGTACAATCTGCCTGTCCAAGATGGGCAGATCGTATGAGCTTTTAATTAGCTTACAACCATTGCAAGACAAAAGTCTTGCGATGGTTCTAAGGTGTATGGGCACCTTTAGTCTGGGTTGTCTCAACCCTCTATCTCCTACTTTTGCTGGACAGCTTTGTTTGTTAAAGAAAGTGGAAAAATAACAGATTACTAGCCAGATCACTAGGTGAAAATAAATGAAAAAAGGCTAAAAAAGAAAACTAATGCAGACACCACATTTAAGAATTGGTAAGCTGCAATATATTACATTTTTGTGTTTGGGTTTAGATATGCTTTAACCAGTTGCTGTCCGCCCGTTGTAAAAAAAACAGACAGATGGCACTGCTGCATTTTTTTTCTGCGGGCGCGCACGGGCAGGAAAGACCCGTGCAATGCAAACACCCGTTACCGGGTGTTTCATAAGTTAAAGTTGGCAAGGAGCCATACATAAGTCCTAGCCTGAATCCAAGTCCAGCAGCTATTGTTTTGTACCTAGAATGTACAGCAATAATGTTCACTTTGTCACAGTATAGCTATGTGGTAAATTTAAAGTAAGAACATTAAATCCCCTTTAATTCATTTCACCTGTACACAATTAAATTGTTTCATCTAATAACAGGCAAACACAATTAGATTGCATCTGTACACCTGCAGTACATTTCTCAAGCCTAGAGCTCTACAAAAGTGACAGCTATCACAGCTTGCTTTTATCAGGTCAGTAACCATTTACCACAGAGCATCTGTCACCTTCAACTTTTCAATATACTAGAAAATGCAATTAAAACCTCACCTATGCTAAGTGTTCTGTTTTCGGTGGCAAGAGTGTTTGGGGAAATGGTCGTTTGTTTACCATCTACTTCATCAATATGTAAATGTGTCAGATTGTTATAGCTGACTCCTGCAGGGAGGCCTCCTGGGTTAACACACCATTTGGACAAGTGGCAGGAGTCCTCTGTTCTTCTATAACTCCAGACAGAATTATTTTCTTTTGGTTTAGACCAGGGGCGTAACCAGAGTTCTGGGCGCCCGGGGCAGAAATTTAGCTCTGCTGCACTGTGATAGGCGGCCGAGCGGTGTGGGAGGAAAGACACCGGCCGCTCACAGCGCTCGTCATTTTCTCTCTGATTCCTTTCATCCCCGCTGGGCACTGCTCTGCGTCCCAGCGGGGATGAAAGGAATCACGGCCGCGCCGACAAAACGGCAGGAAAATTTCACTTTCGGCATTTAGCCGAAAGTGCCATTTTCGGCCGGCGCCCCCCCTTCACTTTTCGCCCGGGGCCCGCGCCCCTGCTGCCCCCCCCGGTTGTTATGCCACTGGTTTAGAGTAAGGGTGGACAGATTAAACATAGAGTAGGGGTGGCTTTATGTGACCCCACTGGGGAGATTTTCCATTACTTTTATATCACTATGAAACTAGAATAAGAAATTGAGACTGGAGTTATCAAAGAAGAAGACAGAGACACCAATTAAAACTTGACACAGGTAACCTTTCCTCATCATGTTATTAAAAAATAGTGTTTTTGTTGTAGTCTGTCCTTATTGGAGAAGTATGTCATCATTTCCTGTCCCTATAAAACTCATCACACAAGTTACGACCTGATAGTAAAATCTCCTTAAGATCTACCAACAGCTATGCAGTGAAGTGCAGCCGATGTACGGCTGATTTCAGCCAGAAGCGAATAGCCGAACGTAGTTCGGCTCACTTCATTTCGGCTGGGTTATTCACTCAGTTGTCTTTGGCAGCTGTGTGAATAACCCCCTTAGTGTGTCTATTGAGGAATCCCGCTGTTTGCATTCTATTTTGACAGCAGATTGGCTGTCGGCTTCCATCGTGCAAACATTTTCCAGGCATCTCCTTCGATCAATTGATCGAGGGATGCTGACTGAAAGGCTGCCAACAGTGGCACACACTGTGCGAATTTCAGCCGGTTCCTCAAAAACCAGCTGAAGTTCGCACAGTGTATGGGTACCTTTAGAGTCAAGCATAGGGGCCTAGTACTAGAGTCAAGTAGGAATGTCCCGATACCACTTTTTCAAGACCAAGTACTTCCCCTCATGTACTTGCCAATACCAATTACCGATACATACTAATGATTTTAGGCCAATTTCCAATACAGACTAATGATTGTAGGCCAATTTCTTTATGGATTATGACGAACTTTAATTTAAGACTGTTTTAGAACAATAAAACATTTGTATTTGCTTTCACACAGCTGTAGTGAAACTACAAATCCGATCATGCATCTGCCTCTGGGGTCATTTAACCTATTCATGTTAGCAGTGGAGAATTGTAACTCTATTGCTGCAGTGTACTGGAAGTGTGTACTGTGGATCATTTAACCTAGTACACACTTTCAGTACACTGCAGTTATAGAGTTACAATTCTGCCCTGCTAACATGAATAGGTTAAATAAATGATCCATAGTACAAACTACATATACAGTACACACTTCCAGTACACTGCAGCAATAGATTTATAATTCTCGCTTGCTAACATGAATAGGTTAAATCACAAGTTGTTGTTTCTGGAACCCGACATCTTCTCAACTTCAATATTTAATGTTGGCTTTTGACTTGGTCATTTGACTCCGATTCTTGTGTTGGACACTTCATGTTTGACTTCTACATTTGACTCCAACAGCTGACTCTTGACTCTGAAACTTTTATCTGACTTTGAACGCTGACTCTGGCACTTGACTCTTAAAGCCTAACTCTTACACCAGATTCTTATACCCCAACTCTGATGTATTTGCATCATACCTATCATCATACTTCATTTTAATAGCTGAGTCTAAAGCCTGATCCTTACGTTTAAGGCTGTTGACCACCGATGGCTGAATTTTTTTTTAGAAGATCCAAGAAAGACAAATAATGACTAACATATTTGATTGAGGATTTACTGACATCTAGAGTAAGACTTTAAAGAGAGAGATTAAAGGTGTGGATGAGAAGTGAGGAGCATGACATGACGTGTTGTAAAATGCAATAATAATGCACAAATTGAGTTGCAATAAAAAAATGTATTTAGATAACATTGCATAATAAGCGTGAAGTATAAACATAAATATATTATTAAAATATATCAACAAACCTTTAAAATTTGGTCTGATCCTTGGGTCATAGCTGACCAAAAGTCTGTTTAATGTGTTGCTAGTAGAATTAGGTGGAACTCTTGCAAGATCTTCTGCAGACAGCTGGCTACAAAATAAAAAAGTAATACAATTCTGGTTAGAAATACATTTTTTTATAACATATAATAATGTTTATTTACAAAGTAAATCTGTACAGTGTATTGTTACAGTATGTCACATAATTAAAAGTATATCTAAAGCAAAAATGTAAAAAGTCGAATGCTGTACATTTTGCTACTGCTGGTTCACAGGAAGACAGTTATAGACAAAGAGTTGTTTGCTACAAGTAAAATTTACTTGTTTTTTTTAGGGGTGCTCTGTAATGCTACAAAAAGCCAAGTCAGATTGTGCCGCTGTCTCCAACTGCCTTCTAAAATCTGTGGCTGGTTTAACATTCAGGGCTTTTGTATTTGGTCTAACCTATTTCTATGGAAATAACATTCCTTTAAGCTGCATTCATAGATAGCATTTGCGGCTCCCACGCGTGAAGAAAACGCTAGTGTTTTTAAATCCGCGGAGATGCCGCTCGTTTGCGGCTAACGGCCGCGAACGTGCGGAGTTCGCCGGATGATCACGCTTGCACTATTTCGGGGGCCGCTGGGTTTCGTGCCGCGCAATCCATGCAATGGTGTGAACGATGCACATTGAATTGCATTGTTTTTTGTGTTTAGAGCGGCTCCACACATATCCGTACAGCCGAATACGCGTGGAGAGCCGCTCAGGCGTGAATGGAGCCTTAAACTTTAAATGTACAGAATAAAAAGTGGACTGCAGAGGCCCCCTATTTGGGTAATTTTTTCGTTAGCTCAACTATTTGGGCAACCACATATACAAATACCCACATTGTGATTGCATATATAATATGGAATCACAGGGAGAACATCTTGAGGACACAACTTACAGCTGTGCATTCAACAAACATGAAATTGATTCCATACTATTCCCTGCTAACTCTGTTTCAGCAACTGATCTCTTCAGAGACCTAAAGAAATTAAAGAAAAAACATGTGGACTTGGGAGTTACACGGATTTACTCTTTCAGAATACTATAGAGCTAAAAAAATCCCTAGAGGATTCCGGATACGAAACCAACCCACTATAGGAAGACAGAGCAGAGAATTTTGTGATAGGTGGTGTGCAATCTCTACACAAAACTTGTTTAATTACATGCTCCTTGTAATTGAGGAAATTAAAACACAATTGTGCCAAATTAACAAAGACACCCTGTTAAATGAAACAAAGATCCGCAACAAAATGGCTGATGATGGTGCATTTAATACTGGAATGGAAAGGATCAATTCTGAAATACGTATCTACGCTGATAAAATTCGTGCTGCAAAACGTGAAAAATTGAAACAAGTATGCCAGGACTACCAGGATGGTAGAGTATATCCCTGGCTAACTGGGAACTCTTTCCAACGACGACGCAGAGGCGGTGCCTTCTTACGTGGGGGAATAAGACAACGCTTCAACAAAGTGAATACTAGCTCCAGGGAGAGCGAACGACCCACGGAAAATCCATCGACAGTGATGCAACCACTACAAAAATGCAGGACACTGCTACTACAGCCGGATCAGCCCCTTCATCCACTCCTTTTTTAGGAAAGACCGGAAAAAACGCACAAGAAGAAGCAGGAAGAAGAAGAAACTCGGGACCATCTATCAACACCAGGCAACAACGATTCAAAAATGCCCGATAATTAATCATCCAGAACCATCTCTGGTATTGAAAACCATGTCCTCAGTAAGGGCTTTTCATTCTGTCCATCTCCGGCTTTCAATGACTTCCAGTTTGAGATTGATACCTTCAAGCTGGAACGATCATTGAAACTAAAACAACACTTCAGTCATCAATCCTGCACCAAATGCATAGATTCATCTACCTATAAATTTAAGAACAAAAGCTCCTTCATACCAACTGGACAATTTGCATCGATTGAAACCTATATCAAAACTATCAGATTTGACACCCGTAAGATTACGGATCGGAGAAGAATGTATCATCACTCAAATCATTCTAATTTAACAAAGACAGAATTAAATGCCCTTAAATCTTTACAGAAGGATGATTCCATCATTATAAAACCCGCTGACAAAGGGGGAGCCACCATCATAATGGATTATGTCAATTATAAAACAAGTCTGCATAATCTCCTATCTGATTCATCCACATACCTCCGAATCACCTACGATCCTTTAAATTCAATCCTCAAGAAATTGTCATCACTGACCTACTTGGCTTTAGATCAGAGATAGATATCTGAGGATGTTGCGGAGTGGCTTTATAATCTATATGCCCGTACACCAGTGATATATGGCCTACCCAAGATCCACAAGGGATATGATCCACTTACTTTCAGGCCTATTGTGGCCGGGACTAACTCAGTACTACAACCACTGGCTATGTTGTTGGATCACCTTTTACAACCTACGGTAAAAACTCTCCACTCATATACCCGTGACACGAACAATTTCATCAGGAAATTAAGAGAGATTGGCAATATACAACCTGATTGGATATTATTAACTATAGATATATCTAGTCTATACACTAATATCCCTACAAACGGGGGACTGGAGGCAGTGGAATATTTTCCAATCAATAGAGAAGTCACATCACCACCAACAGCCTTTATCCTTGAGGGGCTAAGGATGGTACTTGAAAACAACTATTTCCGATTTGAGAAACAGTACTTTCTTCAGACAAAAAGGTACTGCAATGGGGAGCTCCGTTGCCCCCTCATATGCTAATTTATTCATAGGCTACCTCGAGGAACGCTTAATTTACCCATGTGAACTGTTTGAACACGTTAAATTGTGGACGAGATATATAGATGATATCTTTGTGATTTGGTCAGGATCTAATGATGACGTACAGATCTTTGTTGAATATCTGAACACACTGGCAGAGGACATTGTTTTCAATCCAGAGATGTCACATTCCAGCATTTCGTTCCTGGATGTATTGGTAACTAATAATCAAGGTCAACTTATAACTTCATTATATACTAAGCCGAATGATCGCAATACGTTGCTTTCCTATAGCAGTGCGCACCCCGATGCTCTGAGAGACTCATTGCCTATCTCCCAGTTCATCCGGGTTATGCGCATTTGCTCGGACGCCACTGATTGTGAGATACAATTGAAAAAGATGTTTGATAAATTTTGTGATAGAGGTTATCGTGAACATGTACTTGAACACACACTCCAAGTAGCTAGGGACAGGTTTAGCACTCCTAAACCCCAGGAGACACGTCGTAATGATACATTATTTGTAACCAACTTCAATTCCCATTCATACCAGGTGAAACGCACGTTACATCGTAACATGAATATTCTTAGAGCTGATAGGACCCTGGCCCGTCATAAAACGAACACCGCGTGTTGTCCACTCGGGAAACAAATCTCTACGGGACTACCTAGTCTGTGCCGACCCACACTCTAAATATGGTACTGTACCATTTAAACTTTCTAGCAAACAGGGACGCTACAGATGCCATAATTGTAGCGTCTGTAACGCCCTTATTACTGGTGAAGTATTCTTTCACCCACATACGGGCAAGAAATTTCCTATCCACAGCTATTTGAACTGTGTATCGGATCACTGCGTATATATATTGAAGTGCCCTTGTTCACTGGTTTACGTGGGAAAAACTATTAATCCTTTTAAAAAACGATATCAGAAACATAAAAGTGATATCAAACTAGCAATTGAAGATATAAAACAAGGAAAAGATGTTGACCCAAATAAACCTGTGGCGATACACTTTGCACAACTAAATCACCAGATACATGAGCTGAAAGCAATGGTTATCGAACACGTACCAAGACCACACAGAGGTGGCAATAGAGATAACCTATTATTACGAAGGGAGGCTTACTGGATACATACTTTGAATACAGTGAAACCAAGAGGTCTTAATTCCCCTCTATCTTTATCATGTTATCTAGTTGAGTAGCCACTAACAAACCGTTGCACATGATGCCCATATGACCATTTAGTTGCTCTGATATGCTGAACACGTAACTATATTATATTTATTAAATTATTAAATTGTCACTTTAACTGACCAATAGTAAATGTACAGTGACCCCCTATGCTAAAAATATCCCAGTATATTCTTAAAACCCTTGCTCAGGATTCTCATATGATTACTGCTACCTAGATAAAACCCCTCAATACTCTTAATTAAATTAAATATCTCCAATAGATCAATAGCATAAGTTCTAGAGATGCCTTATGCTATGAATATATTAACCTATTTCTAAATATATTAGTTGACATCAATACACATCAATATGTGCTATTAGTATTTCAAATAATACTAATTATATGATCCTAGAGTCAATCTTTCTCATGTTATCTTTATCTGTTGTTATGCTATTCATGTCCTATGTGAGATACTGTCTGTACATATATACGTTGTTCCTTTAAGACAGTCTCCATTATGTTATGCCTTGTCCTCGTTTGCTCTTTTGTTGTTTTGTTTCTTTGTATGTTCATTGTGTTGTGTATTCACTGGCGAACATCTCTAGTCTTGTTATACTGCATGCATATGTGTTTATCCTTAAGGCTGCTGAATTCCCCAATCTGATGTGCGGTGGTATGTCTGTGTGACGCTGACACTTGTATGCTCGTTGTATGCCGGTCTCATCCGCACAGAGCTGTTACCGTGTTTCCCCGAAAATAAGACAGTGTCTTATTTTTTTTTAGGCCGGCACATGCGCAACACGGTAGAGGAGAAATTGTATCTCCCGATTGCTATAGTTACTAGTGACGCGTATTGAGCGCGCCGGTGTTCAGCGGTGCAGTGCACGTCCTCTGATGTCAAAGAGCAGTGCTGCTATGCTATATGATGATACAACATAGAGATGGTTATGACAGGCGACACACTGCCACAGCACCGATCCTGGGCATCGGATTATGGGGAATCCTCAGTAAGTGACTCCGATTTTCCATATATACATGTTTTTTCTGTACATGTTCTATATATACACATGATTTTAAATGAGACTGTGCATTTTAAATATGGCGTTTTTTCCCCGCCGTTCTGACATCACCGGGGGT